GGGCTTTAAAAGATTCTACATTTGTCTTCTTTAATTTGAATTATAAAACTCAAACATATCTTAATAAACATTCTGTTTATAATCATTCAAAATGTGTATACATTTTTGGGACACCCTGTTGCCTAAAATCCCTATTATGACAACCTTGATTGCAAAGAAGGGTACATATTACAATACGCATAAATACCCACTGAGTCAATGTTACAAGCTTATGGGAATTAGCCATTGTAAGTCTATATAATTAGTCAGTTAACGTGCTTTAATTCAAACCTTAATTCATGCAAATGAAAGGAATTCAACATTTGGTTGTAGATAAAAGTTTTTCTTCGAAAGATTTGGCTAATTATGTAGTGATTTTTGTGTGTTTTTGTGTATTCATCCCTACCTTGTTTCTGTACTTTTCGGCATTGCCATCCCTACATCATCCTTATTTTTTCAATTGTTTTTATTACTTGTATATATTACACGCAAGGGTCGGGCTGGGCTCTTAAAATTCTACTGGAAAAAAGCTAGCGGGGGCCCACAAAACTCTCATAAATATAAGAAAATACATAGTTAAGAAGCATATGTGATTTAATGTTGAAACACTAGTCATTATAGGTCACACGATCATTGTAATTTAGAAAATCACAAAATAGGAGATAACGTTTTCAACAGAAATATTGTCATGTGAATCCTTTTCGATACCCCTCATTATTGGTAGAACTAGTACGTTAACTCAGATGTTAATGAGCTGAAAATAGACAAATAATTATTTATTTATTTTGCTGACAAACTATTAGTCTATTTTTTATTACATACTTTTCTAAGATGGCCTACAAGAATTTTTCCCGATATTCCAGCGGACCAGTCCGCGCCTGTCACAAGCCCTTTTTATCGTTATATATATTTAAAATAATAATAAGTTGACGGAAATATGAATAGCTGTTTTCGTACCAAATAAACTTGGCCTAGACTTAAAAGTTATTTCACTGTCAAAAATCATTTCTTGGACAAGATGCATGTGTTTTGAGGATAAGTTTGAAAGGCTGATTTTGCAAATAAATGTCACTATTAGTGTTTGTACTGGTGTTATTTTTCGTTACCAATAGGCCCGAATAATTCAACGAATCTAAGTACAGTTTTATGCTATGTATTATATAAATAATAATAATTTTAAAATTTCAAATATAATTCAGACAACTTTATGCTAATAACTGACAAACCAATTTACAGATGTTATTTAGTGAATTAATCTCCCAACGTTTTGCGAATTCCAATTTTTCTGTCTAGTGTTAAGGTCTTATGTTAGGTTTATGTAAGTTAGAACATTATTTAACTAACGAGATACAGAAGAAATAAATAACTTTGCTTATTTTTCAAAAAAGTTTGGATTTTTAAACTAACACACACTGTGACAAATCCCTTTTCAGGAAATATAGCATATCGGTTTACTTAATAATAATCTGCTGTGTAACCTAAGTTATAACTTGGCCTAACATTTGATTAATAATTCATTATCGTGACTTTCCAGCCTTAGGCTGAACTCAAACTCAAAGGAGCAAACTTTTCAAACGTTAGGCTATTCATAGAACATTTACGACATGAAACTTGTGTAATATTTATTTAAGAGGATATAAATGTCACCTTTAGTGCTGTATCCATGATCTATACTTACCTTAAATCAAATAGAGGTATCTAACTGTCAAAACAAGTGTAAAGGCCTATAGGTATTTCACAATTATTTAAAGTTCAAATTCATTAGGCCTGTGTTCTAACCGTCGCCATAGCTCTGAATACAAGACATGTTCTATAAACGAAGACTACGCACGTGCCATTGCTTTGCAGTGTATTACGGACCGTTCTAAATTTATATATGTCTTTTATTAGGTATATTTGCGATTCTGTAATAAATTAAAAATCTATCAACTGAAATACAAAAAAAAACCGCTGAGCTACCGGGGGGCCAAAGTGAAAAAAAAAAAAAAAGTCAGTGATGTAGCATTCTTTAAAATCTACAGTATCACCTGTTGTTTCAGAGTTTTATCTATCACTAACTAAGTATGCTTGTATCATATTATTATTTTATCTGCAGTCTTACACAATTTTAAACAAATAAAATTGATATTTTATATTATTTTTAATAAACGAATATTAAAATATTAAATATAAAAAATGTCTTTTGATTCCACAACTTCTCTAGAAGTAATCTTCTATTTTTACAGGTAAAACCTCTTTATATTGCAAACTTGAAAGCCTCCATCAAAATTAGATCTATTCAACGTGATACCAGTATGTATTTAATTCTGATGAAAATATGGAGTATCTGTTTTGAGATAACCGTGGAAACACTGCTTTGGCTCACTGCATTAGATTATTCACAAATAAGTCTGGGCAAAAGCTCTCTACAGGTCACTCGGCCATACTTGTAACGTTCAGAAAGACAGGAATGATAAATCTGACTACAAAAACAAAACTATAGCACGTTTAATTTTCTTTTTTTTAATTATAGTAACGTTATGTGAACACTCTTAATGTAATATGTATTAACAGCAAGGTCGTTGACAAGATCTGTACTCAACCTTCATACATCTCGTAAAATACTTATATTTAAAATTTATGTTGTGGAGTTTCTGTTTTCTGTCTCAGCCACATGCCCCTTTCAGACTCTTGGATATAGCTTCTACTAAAACATGCGATCTTGCCGCAATTTTTCATTTGGAGGATCTTTGGCCAGCCAAAACTTTAGTTTTTACATGCTCACTGTATTTCAGTCCTGGAAGCTAAGACTGGGTTCATACTACTATTAGTGGGCATAGTATGACTGTTTGTAGATTATTTGCTGGTGTGGCACTTTCTGATTGGTTGGACTGATCATATTGTATTATCAACACATGACGGAACCGTGGTTCAGTTAATTTTCAGATTTCGTAGTATATATGCCTTTTATACCCTTTTTCCTCACTGTTTCCATAATTATTTCCAATATTGCAAATTCATATCATGTTAATAAATTAAGTGATCGAAATCAAAAGTAAAAAAACAACAACATTGATTGTCAATTTCAAATTAACTAACATTCACATTTCAATAAAATAT